TCCCTCCCCTCCCATCACTTCCCTCTACCTAATCTAAGGAAACGCTCTTCTTCCCTAGTGCCCCGCACCATATTGTGAATTAGCATTTGCCTATTAGAGAAAACATTCGGCCTTTGGTTTTGTTGGATTGGCTTATTTCACTTAGAATATTCTCCACCTCCAACCATTTACTGGCAGATGCCATAATTTTGCTGGTGGGACTGCAAATTGGTGCAACTACTATGGAAAGCAGTATGGAGATTCCTCAGAAAACTGGGAATAGAACTACCATTTGACCCAGCTATCCTACTCATTGTTTTATACCCAAAAGACTTAAAATCAGCATACTATAGTGACGCACACACATCAATTTTTACAGCAGCTCAATTCACAATAGCTAGACTATGGAACAAACCTAGGTGTCCCTCAATAGATAAATGGATAATGAAAATGTGGGATATATAATCTTTTACCACTTCTATTTAGTTCTTGAAACTCTAGCCATAGGCAATGAGACAGATGAAAGAAATTAAAGAGATACGCATAGGAGAAGAATTCAAACTATCACTATTTGCTGATGACATGATTCCATACCTAGAGGATCCAAAAAATTCCACCAGAAAACATCCAGAACCAATAAATGAATTCAATGAAGTAGCAGGATATAAAATCAACACCCATAAATCAAAGGCATTTCTATACATCAGTGACAAATCCTCTGAAAGAGAAACTAAGAGAACTACCCCATTTACAATAACTTCAAAAAATAAAATAAAAAACTTGGGAATCAACTGAACGGAAGAGGTGAAAGACCTCTACAATGAAAACTATAGAATACTCAAGAAAGAAATTAAAGACGACCTAAGAAGATGGAAAGATCCTCCTTGTTCTTGAATAGGCAGAATTAATATTGTCAAAATAACCATACTACCAAAAGCACTATACAGATTTAATGCAATTCCAATCAAAATCCCAATGACATTCCTCATAGAAATAGAAAAAGCAGTCATAAAACTCATCTGGAAAAATAAGAGACCTAGAATAGCCAAAGCAATCCTTAGCAAGAAGAATGAATCAGATTGCATCATGCCACACCTTAAACTATACTACAAAGCTGTAGTAACAAAAACAACATGTTATTGGCACCAAAATAGACTTGTAGACTAATGGTACAGAATAGAGGACACAGAGACAACCACCTAAATACAGTTACCTCATACTAGACAAAGGTGCCAAAAACACATATTGGAAAAAAGATAGCCTCTTCAACAAATGGTGCTGGGAAAACTGGAAATCCATATGCATCATAATGAATTAAGCCCCTATCTCTCACCACGCACATAACTCAACTGAAAGCTGATCAAGGACCTAGGAATTAGACCAGAGACCCTGTACCTAATGAAGAAAAAGTAGGCCCAAATCTTCATCATGTCAGATTAGGCCTAAACTATCTTAACAAGACTCCTTTAGTGCAAGAAATAAAATCAAGAATTAATAAATGGGAGGGATTCAAACTGAAAAGTTTCTTTACAGCAAAAGACACAGTGAGGTGAAGAGACAGCTTACAGAATGGGAGCAAATTTTTACCACATGCACATCAGATAGAGCACTAATTTCTAGGGTACATATAAAGAACTCAAAAAAACTTAACATCAATAATAATAATAATAATAATAATAATAATAATAACAACAACAACAACCCAATCAATAAATGGGCTAAGGAACTGAACAGACACTTCTCAGAAGATGATTAACGAATTTATGGAAAAATGTTCAATATCTCTAGCAATTGAAGAATGCAAATGAAAACTACTCTAAGATTTTATCTCACTCCAGTCAGAATGGCCGCTAGAGGATGTGGGGGGAAAGGAACAATCATACATTGGTGGTAGGACTGCAAATCAGTGCAACCAATCTGCAAAGCAATATGGAGATTCCTTGGCAAACTTGAGATAGAACCACCATTTGACCCAGCTATCCCACTCCTTGGTTTATAGCCAAAGACTTAAAAACAGCATACTTCAGTGATGCAATCACATCAATATATATAGCAGCACAATTCAAAATAGCTAAATCGTGGAATGAACCTAGATGCCCTTCGGTAGATGAATGGATAAAGAAACTGAGGTATGTATACACAGTGAAATATTACTCAGCATTAAAACAGAATAAAATCATGGTATTTGCAGGTATATGGATAGAGTTAGAGAACATTATGCTAAGTGAAGTAAGCCAATCCCAAAAAACCAAAGGCCAAATGTTTTCTCTGATATGTGGATGCCGATACATAAGTGGGGTGAGGGGGAGCATGGGAAGCATGGAGGAACTTTGGAGAGGGAAAAGGGGAAGGAGAAGGGAGGGGGCATGGGGGTAGGAAAGATGGTGGAATGAGATGGACATCATTACCCTAAGTACACGTATGAAGACACAAATAGTATGACTCTACTTTGTGTACAACCAGAGAAATGAAAAACTGTGCAATATATGTGCACTATGGATTGATATGCATCCTGCTGTAATGTATAACAAATTAGAATATATAAATTTTAAAAAATAAAATAAAAACAAAAAAGAAAAAATGTTCTCTAAACAAATGCAATTTTGAAAACATAATTGTGACCAATTGTTGAGAATTATTAAGCAGTACTGAATAAACCACTAATATAAATATATTTTTAAAAGTTGAAGTTAGTAAATATTCTAAAAACACTTCTTCAGGTTACATTTATTTTTTTTAGTTATAGATGGACAAATACCTTTATTTTGTTTGTTTATTTTTTTATGTGGTGCTGAGGATGAAACCCAGGGCCCCCGCATGTGCTGCGCCAGCGCTCTACTGCTGAGCCACAACCTCAGCTCTTCAGGTTACATTTAAAAAGATGTTTACATTTTTCCTTTATAAAGCATGAAATAAAGATCCATGATCATATCTATTTATTTATTGTTGTTTGTTTGTTTGTAGATGGACACAATAACTTTATTTTATTTGTTTATTTTTATGTGGTTCCGGGAATCAAACCCAGTGCCTCATGCATGCTAGGCAAGCACTCTACCACTGAGCCACAACCCGGGCCTCCATGATCATTTTTAAATAATTTAAATAATAATTTAAATAATTTAAATGATATGTCTTGAAAGGTTATGTAGCTGAAAATCTCTAATTATATATGTGAACTTCTTTTTTTGAAGAGCTCTCAGTACTAAAGCTGTGAAGAGAAACTGAGGAGGGAGCAATAAAGAGGACACAAGGGTGAAGCCATGAATGAGGACCTCAGGCTTACTGGCTGGACCCCGTTAATCCAGGGTCATGGTGGTGTAACACAGCCTGAACACTATGCTCCTCTGTAATTTTCTTAACTCTCATGTGAGTTTAAGGTGATAGTTTGCAAACATGGAAGCACAGGTGTAACTGCAGAGCTTGTTAAAAAACACAAATCTCATACTTAGGATATCCCATATCTGAATTTTCAACTAGCTTCTCAAGGCATTAGAAATCTTACTCTGTAGGGATGCTAATTCTAGGTGAATTTCATGCAAACTTGGCTTCAAGAAATTCCATTAATTTACCCTAAGGATTATAAATCAGAAAATAAAATTGTGTAAGTTGAGCTGTAGTTTGATGATTTGAAATGAAGCTTTATATCAATAAGAACTAATTGTGCTTGAAGCCAATTTTAAGGAGCCCTGGGTTGTACACCGCCCCCCCGCCACCTCCCACCCCCACCACACACAATTGCTTAAATTCACTGAATAACATTAGATCCTCTTTGGTGTAGGTATATTCCAGCTTACTAACTTGTGATTTATATTTGTTTTAATTGGATTTTGTTTTCATTTACTTTAAAAGACATGAGAAATGACCAAGTGAGAGCTACTTGGTTAATCTGCTTACTTTCCAAATTAGAATAGAGTTGCTTGAAACATAATGTAATAAGACATTTTTTTCCTTGAGAAAAACAATAATAAAATAACAAATAAATAAAGGAAAGATTTCCATTGTCCAGAGATATCTCTTTCCCAACCTTCCATAGGGGGAATAAAACCCAGGGACCCTTTACCACTGAGATTCATTCCCAACTCTTTTTTTTTTTTTTATAATTTTGGACAGGGTCTAAGTTGCAGAGGCTGGCTGGCCTCAACTTGTGATCTTCCTACTTTGGCCTCACAAATCACTGGAATTATAGAAATGTGCTACTGTGCACAGTTTGAGCTGTAATCTTTAAAGAATGGGGAACAAAGAAGTCAGACATGGTTATGAACATGGCCAATGTGAACACAGAGAAGCAGAAGTGGAATAGGACAAGGGAGGCCAGGAACGACATGGGGGTATTTCTTGCCAGGGACAGACACACTAGATAACTTCTGTGACATGGTCTCCTGTGGTCTGTTTTGAGGGTACACTGGAGGATTCTGTCCTAATTGCAAGGCAGGTTCTCTAATTCTACAGAGATTTAAAATAGGAGAAATAGATAAAAATGGCTAAATGTTCGATAAAATAGTATTGATGAGAAGTAGCTGAAGAAAATGCAAATTGGCTATTACATTGAGTATAAATTTGGAAATTCTAATTGGGTCAGTTTGGGTTTCTGTGGTTCAAGTCAGTCAATCTCTTTGAGGCTGCATTATCTTCTCAGTAAATTGGGCAAAACAGCATCTGTAAAAGGAGATATTAAATATTAAATACGAAGGTCTTACAAATGGTGCTACAGTCTCTATTGTCATCATTGCTGTTATCGCTATTTTTTTTTTTTGATACCAGGGATTGAACTCAGGGGTACTCAACCACTGAGCCACATCTCCAGTCCTTTTTTGTATTTTATTTAGAGACAGGGTCTTAGCACCTCACTAAGTTGCTGAGGCTGGCTTTGAACTCATGATCCTCTTGCCTCAGCTTCCTGAGCTGCTGGGATTGCAGGCATGTGTCACCATGCCTGGTTTATCACTGCTATTTTAAATTACAGTTTCTTTTGGTTCAGCTGCACTTAGAGCACAGCTCAGTTATAAACCATCAGTACTCACCAATGAAGAGCTGGCTGTTGAGCTGCAAGAGGAGGTGCCCACCAGTGGGGGCAGGTTGAAACTTTTGAGGGAGCTGATCCACTTGGAGAGATGCTTCTTTAACATTTCTTTCTGCCTTCACGTGATGCCATCCGTTGTCATTAAAGGGAGTGGGTGACTGTACTGTGACTTCACAAGGACCATTCCCCACATCAAAGGAAAAGGTCACTTCTGTGGGAGCTGGAAATTGTGGATATTAAAGTTTCTCAAGTTAATTCAAAAGGGAGAAAATGTAATCCTGAGTGGACATGAAAACAGTATTGTGGTATGCTCATAATGAATAGGGCAGTGATGCAGGAAAGAATTACTTAGAGTTGGTTAGGAGGGAAAAATAAATTTGAATCCTGGAGAAAGAAAAACAAAACTGATTTTAATACATTCTTTCTCAGAGTTTGTTATGGTTGAGATATGAGATGTCCCCCAAAAGCTCATATGTGAACCAATACAAAAGGGTTTAGAGGTGCACTGATTGAGTTATGAGAGCCTTAACCTAATCAATGTGTTAATCCATTAATAGGAATTAACTTGTTGGCAACAGTAGGCAGATAAGGTGTGGCTGAAGGAGGAAGGTCCCTGAGGACATGCTTTTGGGGTTTATATTTTGTTCTTGGTAATTACAGCTCACTCTCTCTGCTTCCTGGTGCCAGGTCCTGAGCTGCTTTCCTCCTCCACACTCTTAGGCCATTATGTTCTGTCTCAACTCAGGCCTCAAGGAATGGAGTTGGCCATCTATAGACAGAGACCTCTGAAACCATGAGCCTCCAAATAAACTTTTCCTCCTCTAATTGTTCTTATCAGGTCTTTTGGTTACAGCAGTGAAAAAGCTGACTAAAACAGAGTTTAATTGCTCATCTTGCTAAGCTCTAACTAGCAGACATTTACCTATTGAAAGAAATCTAGCATGTGATCTGGCTTCATATAAATGATTTTGATTAAAGGTGATTTAAAACTTCATATAATTTAAAAAATCGTAAGTGAAATCTTTGACCATAAGAAATAAAGATTTGCACATGTGATTAAATAATGTGAGCAGTCAATTCAGTCAAATAATTTTTAATTTAGTAGAAATTAGTTATTTGACCAGTCTGGTTTAATCTCCTGACTGCACACAGAAGTAAAGTAGCACCAAACCATTATAATCTGTTGTATATCTCAGGAGATGTTGTTTCACTCTTTACCTGCTATAGTTTGGATGAGTAATTCCCAAAGGCTCAGGTGTTATTAAAGTCTTGGTCCTCAGGGTGGTGCTATTGGGAAGTGGAACCTTTGGAAGGCAGGACCTTCCAGGAAGGTCTTTAGGTAATTGAGAGGGCATGGCCTTGAAGAGGATTGTGGGGCCTTAGCCCTTTCCTCTTTCTCTTTTTTTCCTGGCTCAGGGGTAAGCACATGCTCCCATGATGACATACTGCCCTCACTAGAGGTCCAACACTATGCAGCCACTCTATTTTGGGCTGAAACCTCTAGAACCATGAGCCAAAATAAACCTTTCTAAGTTAACTGCCTTAGATATTTTGTTATAAGGATAGAATGCTGACTTCTTTAAGATAAAAGAATTTTTTTAAAATAATAGAATTTTGGTATTTATAAAAATATACTTGATAAGGAAGCATGGCAGCAGATTAGGAATGAGAATACTAAAGGGTTTATTGCTCATTACTGAGCATTCTGTGGCTTTGTCTCAGTGGCAACTCACCGTGCAGTTCTAGTCTGATAAAGTCTGTGATACCCAGGTTCTCTACAAACACCCCAGAAGAAGCTGTTGTCTTAAAAAAGAAAGACACATCAGCACTGAGCTCTCCATGGAATGTAGGGAAATGAAGATACGAAGTCTCAGTATTGAATGAAGCTGAATTCCAAAATGAATCTGTTTATTAAAAAAAAGAGTGAAAGTAATAGTGAAACAAAACAATAATTGCATTTTATGTGTCTAGCATTTATTTTTACTATTAAATGCATTACTCATCTAAGGAAGTCTTCATTTTGAGGTTCTTCTAGACATGAAGCCATGATATGAATATCCAAATGGTGATTACTTGGATCATTAAGATTCTGGACATGGATAACTGAGTAGAATCACTATGGAAATGGTCTGTGTTTTTAAACACAATTTTACTTTTAATTTAAGGAGTTAAAAATGACTATTGATTTTGATTTTAATCTGCATTGATTTGTGTAACTTTTACCAAAATTGAGAGATCTCCCTCTTGATATCCCCCTAAACTCACATCCTTTCTTCCTCATCCCTTTATAGTTTGCCTTTTCTAAAGGTCGTATAAAGAGTGATCCACTTTTTAACATTTCAAGATTGGCTCCTTTCACTCAGTATAATGGCTTTGAGATCCACTCACATTGTTGTACATATAAATATCTGCTTTTTCCTCCTACTGACTTCTCTAATGTAGATATGCTATAGTTTGACCAAACTGAAGAACATTGAACATCATTTCCAGATTTGGGAAGAGAGCTGCTATAATATTTGTGTACAGTTTTTCGGGTGAACATAAGTTTTCATTTCTCTAGGTTAGTAAATACCCAGCATGGAATTTCTGGATCATATGGTAGGTATGTATTTAACTCTAAAGCAAACTGCCAAACAGTTTTCTAGAGTGGCTGTACATTTGTCATTTCCATCAACAATGTATGAGTATTTTTACATCCTCACACAGCACTTGGCATTAGAAGTTTTTGTTTGTTTTTTGGCAATTCACATTGGTGTGTTGTGGTATCAATTTGCCTTTCCTAATGGCTGATGTTGTAGAACGTCTTCTCATGTACATCTGTGCTATCCTTACATCGTTTTTGATGAAGAGTGTCCTCAGTTTGGGGAGAATCAACATCTTTCCTATATTGAGTTTTCCAATCATGGACACAGTGTATGTGTCTCCTCTTATTTATATTTTCTTGATTTTTGCCTTCAGTCTTTTATAGATTTCAAGTAAACATGTTTTGTTGCATGTCAGTAGGGTATGTGTGTGTGTGTGTGTGTGTGTGTGTTTAAATTCCTTGAGATTTTCTGTGAAAACAGTCATATAATACACACACACACACACACACACACACACACATATATATATATGTATGTATTTATGAGTAGAATTTTATTTATTTCAATCTGTGTATGTTTATTTATTTTATTACATAATTGCAGGCTTTGTCTTGTTCTCAATCTCAGGAGAAAAGAATTCAGTTTTTTTACTATTGATTACAATGCTAGCTTTGTTTTGTGTAGATATTCTTTCTTGAGCTAAAAAAGTTCTATTGCTATTTTGCTAAGCATTTTATTATAAATTATTATGCTGCATTAGTTATCATGATAATTCAAATTATCATTTAATCAATTCATTCAGAATAAAACCTTGACATGTGATTTTTATTATCTAAACTATTAGTCATAACATTCAGAAACACTAGGACTTTCTCCCAGAGCAATTCCTTGTATAGGCCCCATGGAGAACCTTGGGTCCCATAGGCTCCACAGGATTTCTCTGTCTTAGAGGTTAGCATGGCTACTGGGTCCTTGGTGGACCTCTGATTCAGGCAACATTGGAGAGTTCTGGGCAGAGGACTTACATGACAAGACTTCATTCACACTGGTGGCTGTGCTGAGAATAAGCCTGAGTGAGCAAAGACAGAGGCAGGCAGAACATTTCAAGAATGGAACAATAATCCAGGCCAGGTAGCAAAGGAAGTGGTGAGGTGTGGTCAGATTCTCAATCCATTCTTGAAGTTAGCAACAACAGGATTTGCTGATGCATCAGATGTGAGTAGTGATGAGAGTGTGAGAGGAAGAGAGAAGTTAAAAGTGACCAATGGTCTCAGTTTAAGGGGTGATGAGAAGAATGGAATTGCCACACACTGAATTGGGGAAAGTTGTAGAAATTATTTTCTTTCCCACCCCCTGATTTGTCAGGGTGAATCTGAAGCATCTATTAAGGCACAAGCAGAGGTTCATCATCCAGCCAGGTGGGCAAGCCTGAAGCTCAGTTATTGGGCTTGAGGTATAAAGTGGGGTTACTGAGTATTTAAAGCGAAGAGACTGATGGGAAGCGATCATTCTCATGCAGAGAAGGACAAGGTCAATGAGGGGAACAATGAACATCCCAACATGAGCCTATTGGTGAAATAAATACTGGAGGGAGGAGGGAAGGAGTAAAATGCAGACTTTGTGGCATGTTGGTGGCCTGGTAAGGAAAGTGAATTAAAAAGTGAATCATGATGGAGTCCAAAGTGGCTGGCCAGTCCATTAAGAGGAAAACTGAAAAATAATAATTGGGTTTAACAATATCAAGGTCACACTGGTGATCTGGAAGAGAGCAGTGTGTGGGGAGGGAAGGAGGACAAACCTTGATGGAGTTTATTTAGAAGAGACCATAAGGATGGAAATGAAGTTAGAACACATGTTTTTTGTTTTTCAGAAAGTTAAGATCATCAAAGTTCCTGGGTAACATTCAGAATTAATTAATACCTAATGGGATTAATTAATACTGTAGAATTCTGCCTATAATGGGCTCTGCCCTTTCATTTTCTCATTATCTTCTGGATTTTAGGCATATCAGCACTCATCAAAGTACTTGTACTTAGAACTTAGTAGGCATGTATAGGCTGAGCATACATAACCAAATAATCCAGGCTGAGCATACATAATCAAATAATCCAAAGTATGAAATGAATGAAAATCAGAAACTTTGAGTATTGACAGTACAAGTAGAAAATTTCTCCCTGACCTCATGTGGTAAGTTGCAGTCGAAATGCAGGTGAACTAAAAGTATTGTGTTAAATCAGTGCCATGTGCATAAGGTCATAAAAAGCATGAATGAATTTAGTGTTTAGACTTGGGTTTCATTTACAATATTTCTCATTATGCACATGCAAATATCCTCAAATCCCCCCCCCCAAAAAAAAATCAAAAACAAAAACAAAACCTGAAATCTAAAATTATTTTAGATTTTAGGTCCCAAGAATTTTAGATAAGGGATCTAAAAGGAATAAAAGTTTGCTGCCTTAAAATTAGTAGGTGGGATAAGGTATAGAAAGTGCTGTCAAGCACAGTGGCACATGTCTGTAATTGCAGAAGAATTGCAAATTTGAGGCCAGACTCAGCAATTCAGCGAGAATCTCAGCAACTTGAGACCCTGTCTCAAAATAAAAAGTAAAAAGGGCTGGGGACATGGCTCAGTGGTAAAGCACCCGTGGGTTCAGCCCCCAGTACTGGGAAAAAAAGAAAAGATAAAGTTTGTTAACCAAGTGACAAATTATTTCAGATGATTCCCTTAGTCTTTACATCCGTAGTGTTATTTAAATACAGCATAAAAGAGTCAGAACCCAAAAGTAATATAATTTCTCTTTTTTTTCCATTATAATTATTTTTCTTTTTTATAAGTTAATATATTCCTATGAAATACAGATTACTAAAACAGATAGTCTTTTCATAAACCCATGCAGTTAATTTCTCATAAAACATTACCATGCATTATTAGATCCCTCTGACTGCTACTTACTGTCCCCTCGGCAGAGCAGAGGCCCCAGGGTATAAGCTGCTTCAGAGTGTGGCCGGCCTGCATCTGTCATCATAACCTGAGTGACTGGCAGGTGCTCCTTATGGGAAAGGACTCCTGTGTCACTGGTCCTAGGAAATAAACACAACCATCTCAACTTTATTCTGAATAACATAAGAAATTATAGTTTTTTATTGCAGTTCAAGAAGTATTAAGCAAATTTGTAAATACATATAGCAGGGAAATCAAAATGCTTATCTTAACACTTAGAAGCATAAGCATATATCTGAGGACAGGAGGTCACTGTTCATGCACCTGACCACTAAGAAGGAAGTGCACAGACTCATATGTGGTCATGGGTGCAGGTGTGAGGTTGCATTCTTAAAGCAACTAAGTGGCTCAGGATTCTGTCCAATTCAACCACTGTATAGAATTTAAATACAGAACTTCTGCAAAGAAGAGCAATCCGCCTTCACAAACACAAACAATACAAAAGATACCTGAATGACAAGATTTAGAATTTAAATCCTCATCATTTTATTACAATAGTCTCCATTTATCTGTAGTTTCACTTTCTGCAAATTCAGTTACTCACGGTCTGCCTTGTCGAAATATATTATTTGTTTTGACTCTTTCAAGGGAGAGAACCACATTTATTTAATTTTTATTACAGCATATTGTTATAATTATTATTATTAATATCTTACTGTGTCTAATTTATAAATTAAACTTTATCAAATATATATATATTTTATATACATGAAAAAACCACATGTATGTATGTAAATAGTATACATACATCTAGCTGTACCTATACTGTGTTCATTACTATCTGTGGTTTCAGGGATCTATTGGGGTCTTCAAGATATGGTGGGGACTCTATAGTAAAGCTCTAAAAAATTCCTATTGTGGTTATTAGGTATTTTCCTACTTGTTGACTCCATAAATTTAAAAACAAAAAATCATACTGACTCAAAACCAAGATGAAGGTAGGATATAACACTCCTAAAATTAACAGGAGGGATAGAAAGTGCTTTGTCAACCTTTATCACCATCCACTCATACAACAAACACTTATTCAACATTTTCTATCTACCAGGCTTTGTGTGTTGGGTATATGGACATAAAAAACATTATCAGTGCCCCTAGGTATTCTAGTGAATATCATAAATGTAATGGCAACTATATTATTATTATGTAATGTAATAAGTGAGGAAACATTAATATCTATGTTTCCAATACAGAAAGGACTAGAAAAGGAGCCAGAGACCCTGGATTGTAAGCTGGCAATCAACAGCTTCCCCTCTGGGTAAAATAAGATTTTTCTATACTTTTTAAGCTGTTCATACTTTTTATTGCAGACTTTTCAATTATATTTGCATTTATAATTTATGGACAAAAAAGATTTTTGTCTAGTTTATCTTTCTGATGTCTCATATCTATGTAGAACTAGTAAGTCTTAATTCCTAACAGTTACAAAACTGTCACTTACTCTAGGATACATAATTTTTTTTTTTTGACATTTAACTTTTTATTTGGAGTAGTGTAGTGGTACTCATCACTTTTGAGTGAAATTTGAATAACACCAAATTATTATTTTAAGAAAAAAGAAATGTCCTTTCCATAATGATTGAAATGTTTCATTTCTTTTTTTTTATTTATTTTTTTATTGGTTGTTCAAAACTTTACAAAGCTCTTGACATATCATATTTCATACATAGGATACACAAATTGAAGCACAGAAAAATACCACTTTGGCATGTAAAAAAAAATCCAGGAATTTAACATGGTTCAACCTAATAGCTTTACAGGAATGAATCTGAATAATTTATTAATCATTCCAATTATATTTAGCTACCAAATATTCTTTTAAGATAGAAAAGTTAGAATTATTAAAACTTTTATTCTTTCTTAAAATTATTAATAAAGTAACTGGAAGTGCATATGGTGTTATGAAAAACAGAAGATGAATATCCTGAAATTAAAAAAAAAACAAAAACGGTTTTATTGAATCAATTCATTTCAAAGTATCAGACTAAATAAGTAAGTCCCTGTGGTTCCTGCTAAACAGAAGCACACAAGCAGATTATAACAAGCACATCAATGTCTGGTTTGTCATAAATCAGGCTGTCAGAAAGCTAGAAGGTACCACCACATTATTGGGGGAGTCAGTCTGGGAACTTATTACAACTCTAGGGATAACCTGGTAAATTAAATCCTGTGATTGCCATTTGAGAGGAAAAATGTGTATATTAGTTATTCATTGAGGATCCTTGAATACCGAGGAACCATTCAAAACTATGCTTTCCAATGTAAGAAAAACTACAACTTAATTCTGTCTTCAACATTAACAATGTACATACAGAATTCTGAAAATCCATAAGCAAGTAATAATGCTTGTAGTATATATTAGAACAGATTTTATAACAGTTTTATTGTTTGTAAAGTACTTTGGTAACTGCGGGAGTTTTTAACAATTATATTTAAAATTGTTCTCATTAGTACAGGGCATTCTCAACTGCTCATGTCTTATGCATGATACTAATTGTCATGGTCACGAGACTCCTTAAAACATTCAGTAAGATAATTTCCAAACCCTTTTGTTTTTGATTTCTAATTCTCTATAAATAATTCTTACCATTCACTGATTCAAAGGACTTATTTTTGGTGGTAAAATAGAACTTTGAGTATTTTGTGCTACTGAGAAAGCTACAGGGGGAAAATGGTAGGTCAAGTTTCATAATTCACAATTATTCCAGTGAAAGAGGGGTGGGAACCACATAATTATCATCCAGAATTACAATAATCTGGCAGCGTGGCCTCTCCGTTGACTTTCACTATTCCATCTGCGCATCACTGAAATAAAGCTTCATGTTTGGTGTGTCAGGTCTTCCCACCTGGTTTCCATCTTCACCATAGTCCTAGCTTCTTGTTCCCCACTGTTTATATAAAGTTTAGAGTCATGTTGAAAAAAATCATGAACAAATATTTGGCATTGGTTTGAAATTAAACCAAAAAAGCACTTGAGGGAGAGGTACCCAGTTTTATCATGCATGGCAATAGAATCTTATTTCCATTTATTTAGGTCTTCTTAAATTCTCATGATCAAGTTTATGCTATCTTTTCCATAAAAAACTTACATACTTTTTAAAAAATCTTTATTCCAAGTTGTCATTCCTTTTGTTGATTTTGCAAATAGTTTTTATAACATTTCTTATGGTATCATGTTCTTTATAGGAATCCAGTTATTCTAAGATTCAGCAGCTTTATTATACTCCCATTAGTTTTAATAATTTTCTTTGATTTTTGCAATCATATTGTTTATTGCTTGTAAAGAATCTTTTTTTTTTTTTTTTTTTTTTTTTGCGGTGCTGGGGATTGAACCCAGGGCCTTGTGCATGCAAGGCAAGCTTTCTACCAACTGAGCTATATCCCCAGCCCCCTGTAAATAATCTTTATTGAGTTGTTTCTAATCATTTGTTCTTTTGAATATGTATTTTTAATTTTTACTATTCACTTCTAGCCAAGTTGCATAGAGAAACTGTCCATATGGTACTAACTCTTGTAAAAATGTTTGATGTTTGTAATCAGTTTGCAAAACTATGCCATAAGTGTTAGATAAAATGATGCATCCTTTAATTTTATATGTATAACAAATCAAGTTATTAATTTGGTTTCAAAATAGTCTGTCTTCTAATTATTTTCCACCTGTTTTACCAATTACTAACAGATGTGCATTTCAACTTTTTCCTATTGGGTAATTTGTGAATTTCTTCTTGTAATTCTTAGAATTCTGAGTTATTTCTATTACAAGTGTACTAGTTTAGAACACTTGGTTCTTTCTGGTAAGATTGAAAAGTATGAACATCCTTGTTCAAAATTAGGGCTTTTTAAAAAAATCTTTATTTTGTTGATTTATTTTTATGTGGTGCTAAGGATCGAACCCAGTGCCTCACATGTGCGAGGCAAGTACTCTGCCTCTGAGCCACAACCCCAGCCCCCAAAATTAGAGTTATTAAATTTGCTTACTTTTGTGTATATTTTCCTAGTAATTTTTTTAATATTCAGTTTCATTATTTCTGCATGTACAGATAAGATATGCTTGCTTTTTATTCAATTTGACATATCTAGATTTAAATGGACACTTTCGTCACACTCCTTGTGCAAGACTATGATCTCACTCTGAATTTATTGTGTTGCTTTTTCTTTTTAAATCTCATTTGCTATCTTCTTTTTGATTAACTGAATTGCAAAATTGGGTTTTTTTTCTCCTTTCCTCCTTCTTTTTAGCATACCTGCCAACATCCCACCACTGAGCTACAACCCCAACCTCCCCAGTTTTTCCTTTCTTTCCTCTGCTGATTTGAATTTATTTGTTCTATATTTATTCTTTTAGAGATTACACCTAAAACTAATGCACACTGGGAGTAATTTAATGCTAATACCCCAAGTTCAAATTTCAATGATATTTTTACTTCTCAACATTCTTTTGGCTATTTTGTCAATTATGATCATCTTTGTTAATAGATTAGATGACTGCTTTCTCATGTTTTAATTTCATGTAGCTAGATGTGAAATGTAGCTATACATAAAATAGTTACATGTTCCTGGTGTCTGGTATTTATTTTGGGGCCTCTGAGTTTACAAATTTCTTTTCTCAATATTTCTTTTTGCATCCGAGACTTTCCCTTTAAAAGGTCATTTTCTTTCTTTTTGAAAGCTGTTCTTCAGAACTTCCTCCTGTGGGGTGTGCTGGCGGTAAACTTCTCAGTATCTTATTGCCTGAGAGGATCTTCATTTTTATCACTCATTTTTGAAAATAGCAGCTGAGCAAAAATTTCGAGATGGATAGTAATTTTATTTCCAATTATGAAGAGCTTGTTGTGCTCTACAATTCTTTCCTTTCAGAAGTCTTTCTTCCATATCTGCTTCATTCAACATTTTCTTTTTCTTTTTTCTTTTGACATTTTCTTTAAAGTTCTTCTATTTCACCATAGTATGTCTAGATATGGATTTGCTTTTATTTATCCTGCTTGGTATTTCAGTATTTTCTCTAGTCTGGAAATTTCTTACCTATTTGGAATATTGCCTCTTCCTAATTATGTCCCATCTTCTTTAGAAACTTCAGCCAGACATGCATTCTCTCTTCTCTGCAACCCTTTCAGGGTTCCCAATTTGTTTCTCTCTGTGCTACAAGCCACGTAATTTGGTTACATATATTAATCATTTCACTAGTCTTCAAATCACTTGTGTCCAATATTTGATCCAACAAGTCTTAAAATTTTCGATAAAAACAATAATTTCATTTCCAAACATTTGTTTGGTTCTTTTGTAAATAGCAATTATCTCTATTAATAGTATTTGATTGTTTTCTCAACTCCATTGCTTATTTTTCAATCTGCTCATACATTTATTTTACACTTCTAATTATACCCATTATCTGGGACATTTACATTTCCAATTCTCCCCTTTGCGGTTTCTCTACCCTCCCACTTTCTTTTGTGTTTTGTAAAACTGGAGTGTGAGCTTATACTTCAAGGCATTTTATCTGTCAGAACCCTGTGATTCCTGAAGGAAGGAGGAGGGCAGACCTGTAGTAAGAATATCTTGTAATTCTATGACAAGCTATTGGAGCTACCAACCTGTGGCCATGGTAACTTAATTTTGAAACCATCTTATATATTGCAATTAAAATTATGTATTGAATTAAAAATCTGTGTGAGGGTGTCTAGACATGAGTTTTCTATCTCATGTGCTAACTGGAAGATTTGTCCTTATTCACCTTTTCATTGGGTTTGAAGCCTTTTGAGACCTCTAACTGTAGGGAAAATTTAGAATTCCATATGTTCTTTTCATGGAGCCAGGGCCTTTTCTGATTTCCCCCATGTGGCCATTTAAGGATTTAGGGGATCAAAAAACAACTCAAGATCAGCCATGGAAAATCAATTTAACTTTAAGAAGGCTGATATTGTACTTCCATTTAATGTGAAACAATTTGGTATTTCCATTTTGTTTTATTAGAAAAATAAAACGGACATAATTATTCACAGATAAATGAAAAAAATCATTTTCATGTTTTAGGCCTTAGATGAATGACATCATACACATCAAAACTTATTCTTTAACTTCTTGGGAAATTCTTTATTCTCCCTATTGTAGTATCTTGTCTAATATCTGCCTAAGGTACACAGTTTAAGCAATTAAAAAATTACAGTTTGCACAGGGAAAGCATGTGGAAATCACCATTCATCCTGGTCAGCATCACAGTTGCAGTGATATTGAGAATCAATGCAGTTCCCCTCTAATCCACAAGTACACTTTTGAGCATCAGGCAGAGAACCTCCACAGTAAGTGTGTGTTTCATTGGTTCTTCCAACCCACCAGCTCACTGGGGTTCCATCTGAAAGACAAGTATGAGAAAGGTGACACCTACTTTGCCCCCCACTACCTGCCTCCCCATATCATTCCTTTATTCCCCCCTATGTTAAAAATAGACGATTTTAGAAGTGATCACATTTTTAACTCTACAAGAGGATAATTTTTAAAGGACTCCTGAATGTTTTAAAAATTAATATTGAGAATTATTACTATTTATACATTATTATTTTATACATTGAACCTAAAATCTGTTTGAGATACTAAACTGCCATGAAAGAATTTGTTATACAAAATATGGTTTCTTTTACTATTTTAATTAAAGTAACACTGATATTTCCTATTGTGTGTTAAAAATTCCTTAGGGACATACTAAATGGCTTGGCTCTTAATTTGGAAACTGTGGAGATTCACCTTCATGCTTGAGGTGAATTTGGGGTTCAGAACAACTCTGAGACAATTATATCTGAGTCCTCCAGCACCACTTGCTCAGAGCCACCATAACTCAGCCACGGAGTCGGAGGCCACCTCAACTCTAAGGGGGCTCATCTTGATGCTGAGTCCAGGTGAGGGTGAGAGTGAGGTGACTAGAAAGTGGGTGGTATGCAAGTGGGGAGGGGCACTTCCCCCTCCATAGAGAAGCAGGACCAGAGGGAAAATGGAAGTAACAGTAAATCAGTTGCAAAGACGCTTGTCATTTTCAACATGCTCTTTCAAACCCATCAGCTGTCACCACTGGTTCACTACTGAGAATCTGAAATGGGACCTCTGTTCTCCCTAACTCACAAGCAGCATGATGGCTCCCTGTTAGAGGAGCCCTCTGCTTCTGCTGACAACATCTTAGCTTGCAAACATACTAACTGCATTCATCATCACTCAGCCCTGAACCAGTGGTTGAGGCATGTGCAAAGAATCAGTATCAACCAGCCTTCTTCCTTTTTAGAAACTGTTGCAAACTTATCTCTAGGGAGCAGAACTTTTAACAGATATTTGATAGATGTGTTCAAAATTCCACTTTAAAAAACAATTATTCAACATTCATTCTTTCACAGATTAACAGCAAAAAACCCATATATATATATATATATATATATATATATATATATATATATATATATATATAAACAATTTTGTGTTTGTATTGGAGTTTATAATTTTATTCATAAATTAGGAACAAATGAATGTTTTTAAAAGTACAGAATGTCTTTGGCTCCATTCAAGATTTATTTGAGTGACCAAGAGAATTTGTATAGGGAATGATTTAAAAAGACATCAAAAGGAATCAGAGGCTGAAATGAAGAGGAATAAGTAAGGAATCAACGGACAAAGTATACTGTTCTACTTCCTCAAGTATTTTGGCCACAGGTACAATTGTCAGTTACCTTAGTATTCATTCACAATGTGGTAACTGAATACTTTCCCACAGCATCAACACTGTCACACTTCCTTTTTAGCCACCCATGATTGTATCCTTTGAAACTTTCTAATACAAAGACCTGGAAGATGCTAGAAGACAAAAAGTGTCTTTATAACACTGACATTCCCTATTTTGGCAGGGGAGGAGGAGGGATAGCGGGGATTAAACTCAGGGGCACCCAACCACTGAGCCACATCCCCAGCCCTATTTGGTATTGTATCTAGAGACAGGGTCTCGCTGAGTTGCTTAGTGCCTTGCTTTTGCTGAGGCTGGCTTTGAATTCCTGATCCTCCTTCCTTAGCCTCCTGAGCCATTTCCCACTGGCATGTGATACTGCACCAGGCTGACATTCCCTATTGTGTGTTAAAAATTGCTTAGAGATACATGTTTATTCTTTTTTTATTTCTTCTTTTCCCCCTATGACATGGCTTGGCTCTTTATTTGGAACTGAGAAGACTCACCTTCTTGGTGCCTAACCTTTCCTTCAAGGTAAGTTGCAAAATCAAACAACAAAAATACTACTAAACTATGGCCCATCTTGCTGTTCCCGAGTCTCTACTTGTGATTAATCGAGGTATTGGTTCCTAATACTTTCTGAGAATTTGTTTAATAAAAATTTCTGGAAATGAAATGGATCTGTATCTTGAATGCTATTTGCCCCTCTAACCTGATGCTATTTGCTCCCCCTATTGAAGTTTTTCTTGATCTTCTCACTCTGCAACATTCTAAGGAAGGCTTTAGTTGAAGGCTTTGGTTGGCATTACACCTTCTACACAAGGGCAACATCCATGTTCTGCATACCTATTTGCATTGATTGATGACACAAAGCCAATTAGTGTAATGATTTGAATGAACTGGGCTACACTAGCTGCCTATCTTATCTCTCTCTGGTTTAAAGCTTCTGAACATACATGGGTCTGTAACTGAATTTGTCTGAATTAAGTGTCTACTGAAAATTCTCCAGAGACAGCATGTAAGACATTCACAAATTTTGAGTATCTATAATGTATTCCTTTTATTTTCTTTAGAAAGGGTTTAATAAGTTTAAAATTCTTTTCTCTGTCTTTCTTTTGTCCTAAGCCCAATAAAACACTTATTTGTGTCACTCTTGTTGTTTGAAATACTTATATGGAAAGGCAACAATCAAATAAATATGTGCATATCACTAGAAACACACCACCCCTTCAGGTAGAAATTCTTTACTATCTAGGCAATTCTCCACTTCTGGAATAGGCCATATGATGGGAATACATGAGTTTTATTCCCAGACTCACTGGGTGATTTTTTTTTCTTATTGTTATTGGTTAACTAACAGTCAAAAAAAAAAAAAAAAAAAAAACACTACTTCATTTGCCTCATTTTCTCTGGTTAAATGGCCCAACTTTGATTGTTTTATGTCACTGATTTAATCTCTAGGAGCCGACTTTCTCATCCTTTTGGTAATATACAATCTTAGTTCAGTGATCTATATGGTAGCAACGGACTAACAATAAGTACTAGGCCTCCTAGCTCTAACTATAAATGCAATACACTACAAGAGCTGTGAATAAATAGTATTTATTTAACATGCTTTATAGATGCTGCACTACTAAGTCTTAGAGAGATGAGTGTCTTAGCTCTATAGATTCAGAACTATTAAAGAATAGTTCAGACCCACAGATGCTGAGTGACAGACTTGAAACATGACCTCAGAGAATTCTGCCTACCACTCCCCAGCATGCCTGATCAGAGAAGGCAGACCAGCCTCCAGAAAACCAAAGAAGTATCATGATGGCAGCAGGGTTGGACATATTCACAAATTGAATGGCTTCAAAGGGAGAAGATATAAAACCCATAACAGAATTTTCCAGTGTGGATTAAAAATAAATAATCAGCTATCAGCAGAATTACCTTGAGTCCTAAAAGAACTGTAAGACACCAACTCTTTTCTCTAATTAGCAATTATCCAAGATACTAGTTGCATTCAGTCTGAGAGATAATCTCATGGAATAATCACCTTCAAATAACTAAGCCATGCTGTTAGCAATCTTTTCTGAGATAAAACACAGTGAGGAAATGCTGCCCCTCATAATGTATGAACAAGGGCCTCATCAGAACATCTTTACTGCTCAGTTGCCCAAGTGAGCCTGGGAAGAGACTTCAGACCACTCAAGCTTTCAGCAAAGAAGAGCAACTACTGCCTTGGCTCTTTGTCCCCAGGGAAAAGCATCTTTGTACTTTCCAGGCTGTGACCTTGGTGCTGTGGATACAGGAGTCTCATGAATCTACACCTGCTTGCTGCAAGCTCCTGGGAACTAAAGTCTGCAATGGCTGATGACTTACCAAGGTGAGCTGAAAGCCTTGACTTCCTGCAGTGGAAAGCTAGCTCCTGTTGGCAGTGGTCCGCCTGGTCAATTAGGGCCTGGAGTTGGTCCATGCTGGCCATGTACTTGAAAATCACAGGCTGTGGGCTTTCTCCATGAGAGCTTTTGACTCTGGCCAGGTGGGAGCCATTGTGCTGCACTGAAGTCCATGCAGAGTCTTGTGGGCAGAAAGGGGTTGGGAGGGAGAAAGCAGAACTTGACTAGGCTGAAATACCTGAAATGAGTATGAACATCAGAGGCATCTCTTATCTGAATTAAGTTTTTTTTAATCATCAGATCTCTTTGAGATTAAGAACAGCATAATTGGAATTCTTAAGATATCAGTATTAAAATTTGAAGTTTTATTGAAATTTACATTACTGTGTATTTGCAGGAATTATCTTTGGTGAAATCTGTTTGACAATTTAGTCAACATTGCTAAAAGGTCCACTTGTGAATTTCTGTGATATAATACCACAAGTTATAAATATTTATCTTTTTAATTCTAATTTGTTATATATTATATAACAGAAGAATGCATTATAATTCATATTATACATATAGAGCACAGTTTTTTATATCTCTGGTTGTACATAAAATAGTCACATCATTCATGTCTTCATACATGTACTTAGGGTAGGTAATGATGTTCATCTCATTCTACTGACTTTCCTACTCCTATGCCCCCTCCATTCCCCTCCCTCCCTTTGCTCTATTTAGAGTTTGTCTAATCCTCCCATGCTCCCCAACAACCCCATTATGAATCAGCGTCCTTATATCAAGTAAAACATTTGGTTTTTTGGGACTAACTTCACTTAGCATTATATTCTCCAACTCCATCCATTTACCTGCAAATGCCAAGATATTATCATTTTAAGAAGCATAATCTTTTCCATATCAAGTACCCAAGTACCTTTTTCTTAGAAAATCAAATGTTTGTATAACAGACACATTTGTGGAAGAAAAAGTCTATATAATAATGAAAAATAATATAAAATCAATCTTTTGAGGTGTTGGGGATTAAACTCAGGGTTTTGTGTATGCTAGAAAAGTGCTTTACCACTGAGCTACAGTCCCAACCCTAAAATAAATATTTTTGATTAAAATTGACTAATATGGCATCAGCAACTCATTCTGTGGTCAATACTAAAATACACAAGACATTTGAACATCTAATATACCTATTCCTGGTAATAACCACAGTGACACCAATGTCAGCTGACAAATTCTGACATATTTCTGTTACATTACCTATTTTTTAATGAAGGAAATTAGAAGAAATGAAAATACATTCCAAAATATTTATGGAAGAAAAAACTTTTGACTTCTCTCACTTTCTCCCCCAATTCACCTTACATCATAAAGGTATAAAAGCTTACTTCAATGGTATAAAGCCGACTTGAAGATGCCTTA